CTCGAGTTATAAGGGTTTTAAGTTAGAGCTCGGCCGGAGCCTCTAACCCTAGGGTTAGACCTTAGAGTTATAAAGAATACTTAATAGCGAACTCTATAGTAGAGCTAAAGAGACGTATAGAGGCTTATTTTAAAGCTAAAGAATAGAACTATAAGATTATAAAATAATAATTAACGTTATATATATATTTATATATAGTAAAGTAAGAAGTCTATAAAGATAAAAATAACTAATAACTCTTTAACTAAGAGCTTTCTAAGTTAATTTTTATAGATTATATTAGTCTACTATATAGAGATATACTATAAAAAAAATTATAGCCTAGTTAGACTAGTAGTTATTAAGTTATTAATATAATAAATTAAAAGTAACTCGAATATATTACGACTAAGGTACTATTTCTAAGGGGATTCTATAGCGGGAGCTAAGAGCCTTCGGGATAGTATTACGTAAGAAACTAAAGAGTACGTAATAGAGCCCTAGGGCCCTCCCCGGGCTTCTCTAGGTCTAGTAGGCCTAACGAGTCCTTATAGTAGGAGGGATCTAGAGATCTTAAGAATAAAGGTTCTATATAATAATTGTAATTTTCTTAGATAGGAGCTTTATACTTAACTTACTATAGTAATAGTATCTTATTAGTTTATCTTACTCTTATTATAACAAATAGACCTCTAAGTCTATACTTAGTAATAATATATCTACTTACTATATACTAACCTTACGACCCTAGTCTACTATAGATAGAATATAAATTATTATACTTTAAGTACCTATTCTAAGTAAGCGTTAATTATTAATAATAGTATCTAATAACCTACTTAGCCTAACTACTAGTTAAGTCGACCTTAGTTAAATAATTATCTAAGCTAAAGAAGAACTTTATATCTCTTCTCCTAATAAATTTAATAGAAAACCTAGCGAGGTAAACTAGTTTCTAATAAAGGCCTAACTTTATATAAACTTCTATAGAGAAAAATTCGGAAACGAGATAGACTAAGTCTTATTTATAGTTATCTACCTCGAAGAAAAGGCGTATAACTAGATCGAACCTAACCTTAAGGAATTTATAGCTAGTAAGTCTAAGAATAATAAACCTACTATAAGTATATTAAAAGGTATATAGAATTACTTTATTTTAATAAACAAATTCGCTATAAGACTAAAACGAGCGTTTAGCGATATTAATTAAAAGAAGAAGGCCGAGATAGAACTTTTACGCCTTAGATAAACTAGATTAACTATAAGATACTATACTAATTTCTAATAACTATCTTCTAGACTAGGACTTAACAATAAGGCTCTAAGGATTTAATTCTATTAAGAATTAAAAGACTATATTAAGAATAAGCTAGTAAGAATAGAGTCTACTATAAAAATATATAAGCTTATAGAATTAGCGATTAAAATCGATAATTGCGTCTATAAACGTTATTTAGAAAAGAAGAGAATATATAGACACTATAATTATAGTCTAAAGAATAGAGATAGTAACTTAATAGATTAGAAGCTAATAAAATATATAAAAGTAGTAATAAAGAGTAGAACTTAAAAGAAAAATAAGAAGTCTATACTACTAGCTAAGTATAAAAGACTAAGAGTAGAAGAACTATATTTTAAATATAAGAAACTAGAGTATTAAGCCCGAAATTATAGAAAGAATTTTAAAACTATAAAGATAGTTATAAAATACTACCTCTTAGAAATAAAACTAGAAGTAGAGAGTATCTACCGAAAGATTAGTCTAATAGACTTTAATATAGAAGAACTTAACTAATAGTTAGCCCGCTCTAATAGCGAGAACTTAGAAACTATTATAGAAACTAATAAGAGAAGAGTTACTCTAACTCTATCTAAAGAAAATCTTAAGGAAAACCTCTAAGAATAGATCTACCTTATAGATAAGAAGAAAGAGAACTTCTAGTTAAAACTTTAGAAAGCTTACGTTAGGATAAGGTCTACCTTAGCTATAGATAAAGAAAGAGAGTTAGCTAGAAAGAAGGCTAAGAATATAGAGAAAACTTAATCGAGAGATCTAGAGACTAAAGAGACTTACTAATAAGAAAGTTAGACGAAAATAGTTTAAAACTAGTATAAAACTAGAATAAGTACTCTAAGAGTAGAGCCGACTATAGTAGAGAATAGATTAGGTTAACGCCTAGAAAGCCTATATCTCGGAGTAGAAGCTTAATAAACTAGAGGTATATAACGCTACGTAGCTACTATATCTAGATTATAGATTAATCTATTAGTTAGTATACTACTATAATAACTATTATATATATATTTCTCTAAAAAGAGAAAACTACTTTTCTAGGTTTAGGTACTATATCTATATCGCTATACTAGAGCTAAGAAGAAACTATAAGATATAAACTATCGCCGTAGTAAAGACTAAGGACGAGAACTACTTAGTATTAAATATAAAGCTATAAGGAAAGAAAGTTAAGGCCTTAATAGATATAGAGGCTATAAGAAACTTTATCTCTTTATAAATAGTTGAAAGAATAAATACCCTAGTAAAGTCTATTAATAAACCTTATACTTTACATAGAGTAGATAACTAAAGAGTCGCCTCTAATAAAGAAGTTATTAATAGAATAACTATTTCTCTTAAAATAGTAGTTAATAGATATACTAAGGAGATATAGTTTAATATTATACCTATAGGTAAGAAAGAGGTTATTCTAGAAATACTATAGATATAGAAATATAACTCGAAGATAAATTAGAAAACTAAAGAAGTATAGTTTATATAATACTAATATAAGGGTTTATATTAACTAGAGAGCTAGAATAGAGTTTATACTACTCTTTCTAAAGCGCCTAGACACCTTAAATAACC